ACCAGCCCGACCGCGGCTCGAATCACCCGAAGGCCGGAGCGAGAGCCGATCCGCGGGAGGCCTGGGACCGAGGGTGATGCGGAATACACCGTGTTGTTTATCGAAAGTAATCGCGGCCCAGGTTTGACATAAAAACGCGTACAGACGCCACTCATGTCAAAGCTGTGAGCAAAGTTTTCGCAAAGAATAAATGTGAAAATGGTAAGGTTACTCCTGGGTTAAGAATCCAATTGTAACTCACCAAATATTGTATCCTACAGACTTCCAGGTACGACTGAGGGGCGGAAACGGCGGCAGTTCCGGCAGAGTGGAGGTCTACTACAACGGACAGTGGGGGACTGTCTGTGACGACAACTTTGGCTGGCAAGAAGCGCGAGTCGTCTGCCGTGAACTGGGATACTCTACTGTTTACACCTACCACCACAACGCGTACTTCGGACAGGGCAGCGGACCGATATGGATGGACAACCTGAGCTGCTCCGGATCTGAGAGTTCCCTGCAGTACTGCCGACATAACGGCTGGGGGAGCCACAACTGTCGACATGGGGAGGACATCGGAGTAGTCTGTGGCTGTAAGTTACAGTTTCGTATGCGTACTTCTTATGTCTTTATGCCACAAATGGATGTAAGATCCGACAAAACAATGGAAAGAAAACATATAACGTTAGGACGTTGAAAAAATGGAAATACATGTTCATTTAGAACAACATTTGGGATTAGCTGATTCAAAACTAATATTACACTACCGTACTGTAACGATGTAATCACAGTAGGGAATAAATCAATCGCGATATTTTTTGTGGATGAAACGATAACAGCGCTTTCCTCCCATTTGACAATTATACATATCAATTAGAATGTAACACGTTACATGGAAATGTTACATCATGCATGTTCTCTGTCTGTCGCACAGGGCAATACTCTAGTCAACAACCATATACCGGAAATGACAACTACTGGCGCACCGAAGAACCGACCACGGCTCCCGACACTTGGTGGTGGACCACGGCCTGGAACAACTGGTGGACGCCAGGAAACACCGGTCCTTATTACAGTGAGCAATTGTACCTCGGGAAAGGCCTTTTAATGTGTCAGGTTGCAGGAGTGGGTTGGTGGGAGCACATGGACAGTAACCTGTCGTGGGTAGCTTGACACCTACTTTTTTGCCTTCTTTCCAATGTCTGAGTCTCCGTAACGTCGAAAAGTTAGAAAACATAGTTAAAAACTCTTGTTTCTCTTGTCTAGTTCTCCTTCTTTTCTGATTTTTTATACCCCAATTCAAAACGGAAATGCCTTTTGACATTATTTCAAACTGCCCTGTTTTCTGACGAGTCGTCAACCGTACCAAGGTGTCTCATGGTGAAAAGGGATGTCTCATGGTCAAAAGGGGATACAATACGAATCGCGTCATACAAGATGTAAATGTGTCTCAACGCGCTTACGCCACACTTCATGTTACATCCAACAGACTTCCAGGTCCGACTGAGGGGCAACGGTAGTGACTACCACAGCTACGGCAGAGTGGAGGTCTACTACAACGGACAGTGGGGAACTGTCTGTGACGATGGTTTCGGCTTTCAAGATGCCCGAGTCGTCTGCCGTGAGCTGGGATTCTCCGACTACTACACCTACCACCACGGTGCGTACTTCGGACAGGGCAGCGGACCGATATGGATGGACGACCTGAGGTGCAACGGGTACGAGAGCTCCCTGAAGGACTGCCCACGTAACAACTGGGGAAGCCATGATTGTAGTCACCACGAGGACGTCAGCGTAATTTGTGGTAAGCAATTTTTTTTTCAATTTTGGTTGTGGCGTGGACAAGGAGGGTGGAGGCAAAGAAAATTATGCCTTGTGGATTTTACATTATATTAATGTTATAGTGGCAGCTTGTCACATGTATCTACATGTTTTGGAGCTGCTACTGCAGAATGAAAAGAGCTGCAGCAAATGTAAGTAACTTGAAGCTAAGGGCGATATATTTCACTTATACATTGTACACATTCTTCACATGTGTAGAGGTACATTGTAATTATTCACACTTTCTTAATTCTTTATTTTTGTACCAGATACCGGCAATACAACTGCACCACCATGGACGTGGACGACTGATTCCTGGAATGGTTAAGTGTATTTTTTTTTATTTATTTCCATATGGGCACCCTAGTACTAAAACTAGAAAAATGACAAAACACCGTTAGCAAGATTTAAACATCTGAATGTAAAATAAATCTGATAAAACTCAACCTCAAGCTTTTTATATGCCATGTTAACTTTGCTCAGAGCACGCACAATATTGAACAATGAACTTCGTAAGGATAAATTTTCCCATACCATGACTCAGTCGCTCTATTGCGGTAAGATTCCTACACTGAAGAAACTACTTCTGCAACGGATATAACGTCTATATTTTCATCGAAAGTGTTCGTGAGTTTGAAGGTAAATTTCTAATACAAACTTGTCTTTCTACACTTTCTGCAGACCCATGCAGCAACTACATAGTACTGAATGAGGCATGGAGAAGTACCGAAAATGTAAGCTCTAATTCGGGTGTTCATTGCGATCACCGGTTTAACGGGGAGTGGTACCGCTTCATGGAACCTGCCGGAACGTCAATGCCTACATCTCCACCCCAGTCCACACACAGATGTGGTACTCATGCCCCGATGTGGATGAACGGAGTACACCCGACCGTTGGTGCCGGTGAAGTGTCTCGTGGCGTCTGCGCATTCTGGGAAAACAATACCTGTGAATGGTCCACAACCATCCAGGTGAAGGCGTGCAGCGCTGGTTACTACGTGTACAAATTACCCAGGGCTCCTGTATGCTCGCTGGCTTACTGTGGTGTCTCTGACTCGGGTGAGTAATCTAAATTTTAATAGCTAGATTTCAAATTTCCTATGCAAATGCTAGTATCTTTGAAAATGTAAAAGAGTATGCATCTTACAACATAAATATTCTATCTTCTCATCATCTTGTCTTACATTAAGGAAGCGAAGGAATTAATCTGTTTTTCAAACATCTGTAGGAGGAGCCAACAACACTTACCTTCCTACGGTCAACCCACCATGGCACACTTCCAAACCTGGTACGTAATATTTTGCAAGCAGGTATTTTGCAAACTGTGTTGCAATCGCACAATATCCATTTCGAATTCGAACAATATCCATTTTAGAAATTTAATGAAATTGCAGAGCAAAATCTAAAAGCCAACTACATCCTACCACACATGTTTTGTATCTGTATCGATATAGCCGGTATAATCGCCCTTCGGCGTAACACACCAGCTGTGTTGATGCCAAGTTGCCCTTCGGCGTAACACACCAGCTGTGTTGATGCCAAGCTGCACTTCGGCGTAACACACCACATGTTGATGCCAAGTTTTCCTTGTGCAGATTTGGGCATGACCGGTTCCTGTGACTCCGACATGATGACCGTGACCTTTGACCTGTGGGTTGCCCCGTGGCTTGACGGGAATCGCATGCACTTCGCCGACCCCACCTGTAAGGCCTTCAACAATGGTTCTCACCTCATCTTAGCGACTAAACTCAGCGACTGTGGGACGAAAAGGAACGTAAGTTTAACTGATGCTATAATTCTTACTTAGGCTTCCTTTCTTTGTCAGAGAAGTACTAGTACCTGATTTAGACACAGTTAATAGCGTTCATGTCATTTTTTCTGTTCAGTACTTTTGGGTTTAGAGAAACTAGAAACTAGAGATATGCAAAACAGATATGCATTGAACAATTCTCTGCATACAAAATGTATTTTTATTTTTCCCGCCATGCCATAGGAAACAGACGATTACGTCATCTACTCCAACACGGTCCTGATGTACTCGACCAATCACAGCGTCATCATCCGGCCGGGACCTTCAGCGGGAGCCGATATTGAACAATTTTATGCATACAAAATGTATTTTTTCTTATTCCTTCCCGCCGTAGGAAACAGACGATTACGTCATCTACTCCAACACGGTCCTCATGTACTCGTCCAACCACAGCGTCTTCATCCGGGACCTTCAGCGGGAACAGATATTGAACAATTTTATGCATACAAAATGTCTTGTTTTTTCCCGCCATAGGAAACAGACGATTACGTCATCTACACCAACAAGGTCCTCATGTACTCGTCCAACCACAGCGTCATCATCCGGGACCTTCAGCTGGAGGTCCCCGTCACCTGCAAGCTACCGCGCAAGTCCGTAGTTTCCGCCCAGTTTACGGCAGACTCCAACGCCGTGAGGTAAAACCTTTTTTTTTATTTGCAATTCGACATTGATAATACAGGACACGGTGGTGAGGTGCTCTAGCTGTAGCTAATTTTAACCTCACCACCAGACATACAGGTATACAGCGACAAAATACATGACAAAACAACAGGGAACAGCAAATGGGTGGAAATGGCAACACGGTGATTATGGTAATGAATAATAATGAATGGTAATGAATAATAATGAATAAAGAAAGAATAATATTGTAGGCGTTAATCTAATACAAACCGTTTAGTATTAATAACGTAAGTTTGTGTGATTGTCAAAATGTTACAGTTTGTATCTGGATATAAATCGGGTGATCTAAAATAATACATAAGAATTGTCCGGACATGTTATGTACATCAAAGATAGAGCCTACCAAGTTCTGTAGATTGCTGAGTAGGTTGACTCTTTGCTGATTAGGTACAACCTCGAGAGGGAGGGACAGTTTGACATCGCGCTGCAGTTTTACCACAGCTCGATGTTCTACTCCGCGCACACGGGGCCGGTGGGGCTGCAGCTTAACGAGAGAGCGTACGCGCAGGTGCGGCTCTCGTCTGACGACAATCTCCGCATCAGGGTGGACTCCTGTGTGGCCACGCCTTCACGGAACCCGGCCGATACGGTCATCTACAGCGTCATCGAGAACAAGTAGGCCTTCACTTCCATGTTTTAAATAAAACTAGAACAACATCACTATGGAACAAACTACCACGCGATTGTTTACCACATGGGTATAACCTTAAACTTTTCAAGCCTCAGGTCAACAAACATCTGTCCTCACTGTAACCCAAAACATTTGAGTGGCTCCCATATATGAGCCTTGTTTTGTGGTCAACCTACCTACCTACCTACCTATAGTACCTAGTCCCATGACCGACACTGGTCGTCAGGGGGACAAGGCAGACTTTGCAGCAGAGGTGCAACATGAAGTGGTGAACATGAAGTTTTAAAAAAAGCTGTATAAATTTGTTGGCAAGATAAATCTCTCTAGAGATTTTCTTTAAACCTTTCTAAAGAAAAGTTTAAATATCTTGTCTAGATTTCGTTCTTTCTAACCTGCTATACGTTTATTTTTTGTTCTAGCTGCCCAAAAGACCCGACTGTGATGACGTACTACACATCGTCCCCGAAGGTGGAACGTTTCGGGTTCCGAGCTTTCCAGTTCGCCAACGGACAGAACCAAGTCTATCTGCACTGCCTGGTTCAGGTGGGGATTTTTCTTGATATTGAACCTATAGATAGCATATCAGGCAATACTAATAGTTCTTGCTTATGAACCTTCATTTCTGCACGTTCTCTAGTGTCACTGACGAAAGGTGGTGGATGCTACCTAAAACGTCTGCTGACCGTTTCCAAAATCACATCCAGTTGCCTGAGTAACTGTTTTCAAAAAAAGGTCCAGTTCCACTCTATGCAGAGCAAAGGGGTGGTGCCCATCTCCATTTCCGTAGCTCTTGGGCAACACAAGTTGTGCAAGGCACTACAGCAGAGGGTAGTCTGCTGGTAGTGCTGTGTGTTTGACCTTCCCACACTCTTTCTCATATGTGCTGAGTGCTAAGCAGAGAAAGAAGTGTGTTCCATTTCTAAAGTCTTTGGTATGACCCGGCCGGGGTTTGCACTCACGACCTCCCGGTTACAAAGCGAGCGCTCTACCAATTGAGCTATTGCACCGGGGGAAAATGTTTTGGGCGCATCTTGTTACCTGGATGTCTAACCTTCACCGACGTATTAAACCTAATGTTGGCTTTGAGTTCGCTTAGTACAGTCCCAGTTCTACAATGGATTCGTACTGAATCTTTCTTGTCTTTTTCCTCTCTCATCTCTCTCGCAGGTCTGTGACGGGTCGGACCCCAACTCGCAGTGCACCCTGGGATGCATGAGGCGTGGTGACCGGGAGAAACGTGAGGCCACGCCTAGCAACCAGCTACATCAGGTGTCCGCGGGCCCCATCTTCCTGCGCATGACCGGAGACGACGAGGGCGTCGGTGCGTTGCAACTTACATCTACCTGCTTCAAATTATTTTCTTTTAATTAGTAATAAATAGTTTATTGGTTAAACATTACCCGTGCAATCGCAGCCTTATATAGCGCTGTATTGATGCAGGGATGCTATTTTACAATCACATAATACACATGATACATATAACATAGTTGCTCCACAAATTTTGTGAAACTGTCGCGAGGGTCTGTTTGGCCCTACCAGGTGACCTAAATACGACTTTTGCAGTGTGTTTGTGATAGTTACTGTAGCGTTATGGCTAGAATCGCTAAAATTTTATTTGGGGGCACCTTTCTGGCTATTGCAAGAGATATATACTACCATCTTGCTTTATTTGCCTACAGACTTCTCCGCTGAGAAGAAGACCTACACGTCCAGCGACTTTGCGCAGACCCCGGCCCTGACCCTCGCCGTCGCCGCCGTGGCCGGTCTGGCCGTGGTCGTTCTCGGCATCGCCGCCATGGCGTTCGTCTACAAACACCGCCGCGACAAGATGGCCTTCCGGTACCAGCCTGTCGATACCGCGGAGACATACTAAGTAACAAGCTAACTAGAGTTTAATCTGATTAGCATGGAACAGGGCCATAGTGAGTAGTGACTGCAGTGTCTTAAAACAAGTACTCGGAGAAATAAAGCATTGGGTACACAAATAAAGCGTTGGGCAAAGCGTTGGGTGTTAATCTTTACTTGGGCTTGGTTACCTCTGCTAAACCATACTATTTTCACCGATTGTTACTACTGGGGAGCTCAAACTCACGTCACTTCTTCCCGAGGAAAAGAACTGTCTACGAACCAAAATCCGTTACCCTAGCATGCCCATCCATATCACAAGATATCAAACGCAGAAGTTCCATTGCAGTACCATAACAAGTCGCCAAGGACCAAAAATCAAACTTGCGAGGTCTCATTAAGACCTACCCACCTACAAAGACTATCCATCCAAGCCTTCTAGATTTATCTTGTTTAAACACGCGCGCGCGTGCCCCCGAAAACATAGCCTTCTTATCAAAGGTAATAAATAGCAACGTGGTAATGCGCTAAAGTGGGTAAATACTAGGCACTCAACGAGTAATTTAAATGCTTACTCAGGTTAAACTAGTGCCCTTAGTATAACATGCAAGTAAACATGCCTGGCAACTTAAAATTGATGGCCGTGTGCTTGTGGATAACTAGTCGGAAGTCGATAAGATAAAGTGTGAATGGCATCGATCAGCTGCAGATGTAACGAGGCAGTTTTTTGGCTGACGATTTTATACTGGGTTCAGTTATTTGAAGAGTGCGTGTTTTTAGACACGGTTTAGAAACGCGATGTATGTTAACGCGCGCTCAGTACTCCAATACTACTGAGTTTCCAAATATCGAACGTATTCTATATCTATTACATTGTAGTTTATGGTTCACATTTTCAAACTGACAACCACACACTGCACGAAAAGTTGGATTTACCAATGGTAGTTAGTAACTTAGTGCCAGTTAAATCGGATGATAAATGGTTTATTGGCCAAGCATCACCCGTGCAGTCGCAGCCTTATAGTGCTGAATTGATGCAGGGTTTACAATCAGATGATACAAATGGTAATAATACACATAATAATACACATAATACACAATGTCATGATACATATTTGTTCCACATTTTTGTGGAACTGCCGCAAGGGTCTGTGCAGCTGCCATTTGGTGCCACCAGATGACCTCCATACGGCCATCCCCAACCGAAGTTAGGTACCCATTCACACCTGGGTGGAGTGAGGAAAGTCGTGTAAAGTGCCTTTCCCAAGGACACAACGTCGGGCGCATGTCCAGACATGTCCCGGGTACGACTCGGGGTCGAACCTGGGTCTCCTGGTTCACAGTCGAATGATCTACCACTACGCCACACGACGCCACACGATGGGTGGCCATGATGGCCATGATGTTTACTTTGTAAACATACTGGACTTTACTACCGTAGTAAATAAAAGTCAAGTCCACTTATTTTGGACTTAGAAGGCGTAGTGTTGATTACAAAGTACTTTATTGGTAGTTGGCCATGTTGATTTGATTATATGGATGACATCCGCGCACGCATGAATTTTTGTCCGTTTCCATAAAAAAAATTCGACCATACTGTAAATCGTACAAAGTAGCCACAAAATGAGCAAATATATGCCGTAAATTTAGAAAAAGATATTGGAAAACGATACTTATGTCACAGAATACCAAAATCAATTCCGAAGGACAAGAAGAAAATGTGAAGGAATGAAAATGAAGCGTCTATTATTCACCATGCCAATAAAATATTACTCTGTGTGTTTAGCCATTTGTTCAACCTTCATGACCACCTAGATTTGATAATGAAGGCAACTTTTTTTGCCAAACTTTTTTGTTTTATTCGCACGCTCACTTGCACGTTAAAGGCGTCTTCATTCTTCATAAAAACGTAACATTCACGTTAGAATGGTACAGGCGAGAACATTTTGATTTGCGACGAAAACCGGATATCATTTCTGGTGATTTATAGAAGTGTTAAGTATGAGAAGTTCACATCTGCAGCGTCTGCAAACACGTACATGAAGATATTTAATGCCTGGAGCAGTCGGCTGTGCCCCAGAGTTTGGACAAAGTAACAAGATGGCGGTACTCTGGGTCATCTTACACCTGATGTTGGTGTTGAGAGATGGAATCGCAGAGAACGACGGTAAGTTTTTTTTTTTATTCCAACATTTCATGACTGGACATGGTGACGGCACACTCAAGTTATATCAACTTATTTTATACCGTCACCAACGCAGAGGAAAAATACGGAACAGGACAATACTCATTTCCACTTAAGTTAAGTGAGGAAAGTCGTGTAAAGCGCCTTTCCCAAGGGCACAAGATCGGTGGCATGTCAGGACTCGAACCCTGGACCTCAGGGTTCCGAGTCGAGTACTCTGCCGCTACGCCACACGACCCCACACGACGGTAAGTTGACTGCATGGCCCCTCACACTCATGATTGTGACTTCAGTCACATTATTCTATTTTGTTACAGTGATTGTTATAATGAATGCCATATGGTGATCAGTAGCTTATCTATGTAGACTCTTGCAATTAACTACCTTTGAAAAACACAAGAGAACGTTAATTCGGTACATCCCAAGTTTCCTAATCTCCAAGCAGATCCCTTTTGGCGGCAAGACAGTATCCATTAGCCAGAGAAGTTCGCCGGACAACTTCTCTGGCTAATGGATACTGTCTTGCCACCGAAAGGGATCTGCTTGGAGATTAAAGTTTTCTAGCTTTGGCGCTATGTCATCAATGCCCTTGTCTAGCTAAATGTTACATACATCTCAGTTAAAACATGTGGAGGAGGTAAGCAAATTACTAGCTATGATAATTAAAAAGAAATACATTTACATGTATTTAATTTTCAGGAAATAAAGAAGATAGGGGAAACCGGAAGAGATATTCGTGGACAACACCATTTGAAACTACACCTTTGCCAACGTGGGGTAGGTTGAACTTGATACCAAAGAAAGCTTTACTAGCTATAGTGTTTTGCCATTAGAAATTCAATCATCATCAAAGTCTATACGTGTTAATGTTCCCAAGTTACCATACGTCGTATTGCACTCGACTGTTGAAATCAATGTATTATATCAATTTTAGTGCAGCAGATTCTTTGGTTACTTGTGTATATGATAATTGGAATGTTAGCAATGTCGCCCTGTATCCCTGACAGCGTAATTCCTTTGCAGATCCACTGGGCTGTAATAGTTGGGATGAATTCCAGTGTTACGATGGCCAGTGTATACCACGACATTTGGTTTGTGACGGCATGCCGGACTGTAGTAGCATAGAAGACGAGGATTTAAACTACTGCTCCTACAGGCTTACAACAGGCCAATGTATGTATCTGTGGTGTTCAAAATATGACAGTTGACAGGATTATAATGCTACTTATTTTAATTCCATCAAAATTTGCACAAATTTTAAATTTCCTGTCTTAATACGGTATTATTCCTAATTTGAACTATTTTAGCATGTGGACAAAACCTTTTATTTCAATGTTGTTATCTATATAAGCACTACAGGGAGTGCTAAGGGCAGTCATAGTATCAATAAAACGCCATAATGTAATTTTTTCTTCGAGACGTCACAACCACAGCGCCTACCACTTGGTGGTGGACAACGGCCTGGGACAACTGGTGGACAACAGCAGGAAACACCGATTACTACCACGGTAAGTACTGAAATTGACATACTGCTTGACTACTAAAGCAAGGTAGTTTAGTGCTACTCTAGTTACCTCCGGGTAGGGATGTATCCCGTGCGCGGAGGTTTTGTGAGGGAAGACGAAAATTACGTTCGCAGCCGTTTCTAGCGTTTGGGTGGACGGATATGTCTGGGACTTGGTATACGTTTTGCTATTGGGCTGTAGATGGTGCACGTTGTTTTGGTTTTTTAGTATGTGTGTTTTAGTCCGTGAAAATGATGCGTTGTGACAGCGTATGGACACCCCTTTCAGTGTGAAAGTGGGCCTCAACTTTTGACCTTTGCATGTATAAGGACCATTGAGGTCTCGACCACTGATCTGACCTTTCACACAGAGGGGTGTCAGCATTCTCGATAAATTCTTTCTTTGAAACTGTTCAGATGTGAACCACATGTGCCGTCAATCAACGTCTCATTATCGTGCCTGGTGGGACCCGCTGGGGGGATACTTTAGTACGCGTTCACAGGACACGTAATCGGCACTTCCTGGTTAGCCAATGGGTCAGGGGTCAACGTACTGTTGCGCAACCTTTGTGTTGGTTGTTTTCGGCGTATATTACGACTTCTAACTTACAAATACCGCGGATTCAGACCTTTACTTCCCCAATTTATACGAAGAATCGGCGGAAAATGGAGGAAGTGACAATAAGGATGACTTGCACATGCGGGGAGGTACTTCAGCAGTTATTTTTAACGTCTGATTCCATTTAACGGCTCCGGTTGTCATTCTGAGTTTCATTACGAGTTCCTTGTGGCATAAGTTCGTGGCGGCCCGTTCGTGGGTACATGTTATAGGCTGCAGATGAAAATACTGACCTGTGTTAACACAACCAGGAAGGCTAAATCTAACACATAAAATTCAACACCATCAACTACATGTATATAACAAACAACATATAAAAGTATACAATAAAAAGCTCAGATTTTACTATTCGCACGCGCGCATCAGTTTTGGGGTTCCCAGAGGATGTCATCCATATAATCAAATCAACATGGCCTTACTTACATGTTAGAAGGGTAACACGCGCACCGGACGATTGGCGGCTGGCGCCCGGAGCGGGTGTTTGTTTACATTATCGCTGGTCGCTGAGGGTCGGGCAGCCAGATTCGCCACGGGATGCCCCCTGTCCTTTCTATTTTTGGGCTCCAGTCGGCTAGGGGGATTAGTGATTTCACAGATCATTTAGCCAATTACAAACATTTCGAAACTTTTCGAAAAAATGGTATTCGCGCGAATTCACTAATTTAAAGAACAGTCCCAACATGCACCCAACATTCTGCAACACACATTTCAATACCCGGAGGTACAAAATCTACGATTTTCCTTGTTTACTACTAAAATCCGCAACTTGTATACTTTGTACATTAAGTACTTTGATCTAGGGAAATGCCTTTTGACATTATAGTGAATTTCACATTGTCCCTTACAAATATCCTGTCGAATCGCCGACTGTGCCGAGGCGTCTTGAGCTGGAGTCACAATTGAAACGGGGCCTGCTCGGCATGTTCTCGGTGTAGACGCCGGCCGGCGTCATGAAGCCGAGCGTGCGCCGGCTGTCAGGGTCACAATTAAATGTTCCTTTATGCTTAGGTCACATTTGAAACGGCGCCCGTTCGGCATGTCCTCGGCGTAGACGCCGGCCGGACGCCGAGCGTGCGCCGTACTGTCAGGGTCACAATTAAATGTTCCTTTACGTTACGGCTCCCTGTCGGGGCCTGCTTGTGCTCCGGCCGGTGGCTCTCATTAATATTCATAAACTTTTGCGGCCGGTTTCTGTCAGGCACCCGTCCGGTGCCCGGTCAGTCGCCCGTCTTGACCCGTGCGGCGTGTGGTAGGGTGCCGACCGGCTCTTACAGTTCGGCCGGGCAGCTGTCAGGTCCCTGGCGGGTTCCTGGCGGGATCCCGACGGGCTCCTCTTGTGTTTTTGAGCAGGTACATATATAAGCGCTGCACTGCCTGCTACCGTTCACTTCAAGTAAAGAGTAGACTGAAGTTGGCGATGCAGCGTTCAGTGCAACCTGCAAACAACTTACAAGCCCGTCTGAGATTGAGATTGGTGACAACCTACATGTAGGTCTTCTGGCATTGGTAGCTGAAGAAGAGAGGCAGGCAGAACTGGTGCGTCGCAAAAGTAACCGAGGCGAGGGCCTACTTTCGAAAGTACTTCAACAGTGACGCAGGAAGTACTTCAGCAGTGACGCAGGAAGTGTGCCGTGGCAGCTCCTTGCTATTGAGCAATAAAACCACTGAATATCGTTACTTCTGTTGAAATTTGGACTGAAAATAAATGCCAATAACTTCTGATTCCATTTTATTACGAAGGCATATGATGTAACAAGAGATAATGTCAGACACATTCTATTCCTGTTATGATCTGTTTTATGAAGTTGGCAAGAGAGCCGTCCTTGCCCTTCGACATTCTGACACACAAATACAAGGTGTAACACACACAAGTACACGATGTAACACACACGTGGTGAACTGTGCGACGTAGTCTGAGGCAGGAGTTTATATATGCTCCCTATAACCCCCTTTTCCTGACCATCTGATGCACTGATCAGCACATGTGACGTCATAATCTTAGGCAGGTGCCTGTTCGGCCGCCCGACGGGTCCCGGGCAGTGAGGTTACGGCGTCGCTTCGGCGTATTTCGCCGAACGGGGCCCGAAGTGTTTTTAACTCTGAGTTAAAATCGATTCGGCGACCGCGCGGGGCCAAAAAAAAAGCCGGCAGCCGTCGGGAAGCCCGCCGGTCTCCGTCCAGGTCCCGTTCGGTAGTGCCAAAAAACACGCCGAACACGCGCCGAGCGGGCCCCTTTCTTGAATTGTGACCTAAGCATTACGGCTCCCTGTCGGGGCGCTGAGGTTACGGCGTCGCTTCGGCGTACCTTGTCGGACGGGGCCCGTAGTGATTTTAAGTTTGAGTTAAAATCAATTCGCCGACCACCACACTTTATGCCACATCCCACAGACTTCCAGGTCCGACTGAGGGGCGGTGACGGCTACAGCTACGGCAGAGTGGAGGTCTACTACAACGGACAGTGGGGGACTGTCTGTGACGACAACTTTGGCTCGCAAGAAGCCCGAGTTGTCTGCCGTGAGCTGGGATTCTCCGAGTACTACACCTACCACCACAGTGCGTACTACGGACAGGGCAGCGGACCGACATGGATGGACGACCTTGGCTGCTCTGGGTACGAGAGCTCCTTGCAGTACTGCCCACATCGCGGCTGGGGGAGCCACAACTGTGGACATGAGGATGACGCCTCGGTCTCATGTTACGGTACTTTGTCAACACTTGCGATTCAAAAACATTTTGCTATCTAAAAGGATCAGGATGGCAGGTGGACTATCACCAGATACCAATTATGCAAATACGGACCTAATTTGCATAATTAATCTGACTCTTTAGTGGCAAATGATAGTAATTTCATACTTGGGACATGAGTAAGTTAATCAAAAGTTTACATCACGATGCACTTATTATGTTAATGCAGAGGTTATTTGCATGATTAAAGAAATTTACATGTCCATATCCATATTTCATGGAGGTATGAGATCTCGGAACTCTTGTTTGCTTAAGCATATCGTGACCATTTCTGTATTGATAATGTTATGACGCAAAGCAGTGGCTTTGAAAGGTGTCTCAATCCATGGAAAACTTAAAGAATGTTACTGATGCATTTTCAAGGGGCTTCCTGTAACTTCGACTATAGTGACTGCGGCTACAGCAAAGAATCGTCAGGCATCCAGTGGATACGGCACAGCGGTTCTACACCTTCTTCTTCAACTGGCCCGAGTGGGGACCACAACACAGGACGTGGTATGAGCTTATTACCTCCATGAAAAATGGAGGTATTGTTTTTGGCGTGTCTGTCTCTCTCTCTCTGTGTGTGTGTGTGTGTGTGTGTGTGTGTGTGTGTGTGTGTGTGTGTGTGTGTGTGTGTGTGTTTCCGCACATTTGTAGTCAGCATAACTTCAGAACGCCTTTATGGATTGTAATGATATTTGGTATGCTGGTAGGTCTTAGGAAGCCAAAGGTCAAGGTCAAATATGGGCCTCCTGGTGGCTGACCTTGGTACTGCAGCAGAACTTCCGGGAAAACAGATGTGCGAGGTGGCAGGGAAAACAGATGTGCGGGGTGGAGGCAGCGCCTGCCGGGTTTGATTAATGAGGTTGTCCCCCTGGCATAGCCTACATGACCATAACCAGGCCAGAGGTGCTACTGTGTGTTTAAAAGCAAAAACCTGTGTTATTTTGTTCTGTACTGTAGTGTACTGTGTAACAACCTTTAGAAAAACTCATATGTTTCATGGAGGTATGAGCTCTCCGAATTCTTGTTTCAGAAATGCGTTTTCGTTTGTTTGCTACACCTCAGGCATTTTATCTTCCTGATAAAATACCGTCCTCCTATTGTTTCATGAGCTGTTTTAAACTGTTTCCTTGGACGAATCAGACTCCAACCTGTACTATGTGACCACCTCTACATGAAGACCACCTGGCCATTGTTGTCAGTCCTTGATTGTCCCATCATTTTCCCATTTGCCCAAGCATTAAGAAATTGGTCTATAGTGACCAGGTATCTTGACTTTAGACCCATAGGTAAGTAGACTGTAGGTAAGACATATTCCTGAAACAGGAGATTAGGTTTCCGGCCGCTCAGCTTATATAGATGCCAGACTTTGTACCTCTTACAATTGTTGTGCTATAAAGTTTATGTTTCGTTGTATTCTATGTAGGGTGACAGTCCCAAGGGTTGGCTAATTAAGCAGACCTGGCTATATTTCTCTCACAGCCAAATCTGCAGGCAGAAATGCGCTACCTTGTTTGTGCTTTACGACACAAAAGTGAGGAAAGCAAATGTTGAACAATCTTTCCAGGATACTACATGTATATCGAGACTTCCTCCAGTGTGGCGGGAGCCGTAGCACGTCTTCTCAGCCCCACCATCTCCGACAGTGGATGGTTCTGCCTGCAGTTCGCCTATCACATGTACGGGACTGACATCGGGGAACTACGGGTGCGCGTTGGGTCATCCATTGAATGGAGCCGGTCGAACAACCAAGGAAATAGCTGGCATCTGGCTTCCGTGCAAGTCTTTATAATCTACCAAAAGGTTTGGACAACAGGTCTTAAAGGACGACGGCACATACACACATGCAAACACACACACACACACAAACGCACACAGACGCACACAAACACACAAACACACACACAAACACAGACACACACAAACACACACGCGCACGCACACACAAACGCACACATACACACACACACAAACGCACACACACACACAGACACACACACAGACACACGCACACGCACCCCCCCCCCACCACACACACACAAACGCACACACGCACACACAGACACGCGCGCCATAAAACAAGATACGTGAGGAGTACCTTTAATAGCTAGAATGAGCCTACGACACGAAACAACCATTTTTCGTCAGCGACATCACATTTTACGTCACAGATATTCGCGTGGTAATGGGTATACGGTTAATTCAACTTGCTAATAAACGTATGAGTTGAGCGTCATAATGTTGTTGTGTGCAGGTCGTGTTTGAAGGTGTTCGTGGTAGCAGCTTCAGAGGGGACATCGCCATTGACGACGTTGTCCTGAACCCTGGATCGTGTCCCACAGGTTGGTGAGATTTTACACTCATGACACTTTCAATGATTTGTAATTTGCAGACCATTAGCCAAATTCAGAGTTGACAAAGTGATAACGGATTCTAATGTGTTAGAAGTTATAGAAGAAGATTAGGGCACCGGCAGAGGCACGCTTTGCATTGTTGGAAATCTACCTTCAATCCTTTATTTTTAGGTTCTACAACTACTGACGATCCATGGTGGTGGGCAACAGGTAAGCTTTTCTTGCATCAGGTGGCCTTTTGTTTTTAAAGGAAGGAATTTCACCATAATGTTTCACACCAGCCAAATTCACTTTACATAATTTTGAAATCTCCCGTCGTTTCGTTAGGTTCAACAACTCCTGGCCAGTCATTGTGGTGGACAACACTGTCAACAGGTAGGCTTTTCATATATCGCCATGATGAATAGGTAAAAGATAATCTATAATCTATATAATCTATCAGTTATATAAATAGATAGATAGATAGAAAGATAGATAGATAGATAGATAGATAGATAGATAGATAGATAGATAGATAGATAGATAGATAGATAGATAGATAGAAAGATAGATAGATAGAAAGATAGATAGATAGAAAGATAGATAGATAGATAGATAGATAGATAGATAGATAGATAGATTATCTATCTATCTATCTATCATAGATAGATAGATAGATAGATAGATAGATAGATAGATAGATAGATAGATAGATAGATAGATAGATAGATAGATAGATAGATGTAGATATACAGATAGATAGATATAGATGTATGTCATATTGTTGAAAATAACTGTCGGAAACCTGATAAAGACCATTGCTTATGATATTTATATGATCAATAAGAATAGCTGTATTTTCTGCATATAGTAGAACAGGAACAACCAGTTTGAAAATAGAAAACACGCTGCCTTTGCCGCAAATAAGCAGCATTGAACTTGAAAGTAGTAACCTTTTGATTTCATGTCGGTGTTTGATTGTTAACGGGATCCCCTGGTTGAGTACTCAAAGGTGATTGTGGTGGATCTATAGCTCAACGAATCTTACCTACAATATCGCCCTTTTTCTAAACTAAGGCCACAGCATGTAAATGTTATGGATGACATCCTCCGCAGACTCCAAATTTAATGCGAGAGGGCGAAAAAAAACAAGACGGGCCTAAAAAAAACAAGGTTCCTACATTTTAGAATTTTGACCCAATCATTGTTCAAATGGTTTTGATTCAGTGGGAACATCACATATACACAACCAGCAGCTCATATCACTGCATCAAAACATTAAATCAGAGCCTTTTCTTGTCTCCTCTCTTGATGTTATCTGCCATCCACCTTGCGGCATGGCAACAGATATCTTTGCCCATTTTCGTCATGTTGACCATTGTCAGAAGGCAAGAAAATTTCTTTTTTTTTTCCAAAGTCAGGAAAAAATTAATGCGCGCGCTGATGTCATTCATAAGAATTACTTGCTGTGGCCTAACATGTACAGGAAGCTGTTCATCAGAAGGGTGTGGCGTAAATGCAGGAGGCTGCTGGTGTGACAGGGTCTGTGCCTCTACGAACGACTGCTGTCACGACTACGTGGAAGTATGTGGTAAGTTTCACATCACCAAATTTGGTACACGGTACATTCCATGAATTATTATCATGTCCAACTACCATATCTGCTTACGTAGGCCAATTTCTGTACACTTTATTTCGTAAGCGAGACCATATCATCAATACATGAACATATTATACTAGTAACTCATACATGTATACTGTATAGATAGTAGTTTGTAGTAAGAAATGTAATAAGATAGTTTAGTTTTGTGGTATTGTTGTATTTCTGCCACACATTGTACCATGTACGATTGTCGAGCAATAAAGTTTATTCATTCATTAATTCATTCATGAATTAGTGGTCCTACATTTTCTGTGACAGGTTACTGCCTCCTACACTGAAACGCAGATATCGATCCTGTTAAACGTTATGATTTTGTTTTTTGCATAGAGGCACCCCAGTAAAGGCTCGAGTATTTAAATTGTTTAAATCTTCTATCCCTTCATCATCTTCTCGACATGTCTTATATTGAAGAACAGACCCGACAATTTAGGATGTTTTTTTTAATTTATCTGTTTAGAATCATCTGTAGGAGGGGCCAGCGCCACTGATCTTCCTACGGTCTCCCCATCATGGTACACATCTCAATCCGGTATGTCATATTTTGCAAGAAGACATTTTAACGTTACGAAGTGTGTTGTAACCGCAAGAATTTCTTTTGTAACAATATCCATTTTAGAAATTCAATGAAATTTCAGAGCAAAAATTAATCTAAAAATCAACTAGAGTTCGTGGAACACATGCTTCCGTCAGGTGTAGATATTATATCCTTTCGCAACAAGTCGGTCTTGGGCTGCAGCCTGGATACCGCCACATCACACAAACAAACAATTGAAGACATAGACTTCTTGGTGAATTTCATTGAACAATTTTTTTTCAAGGCGCCAGCTATCCGGCTGTCAGATTATGTTGCAGGTGTGTGTGTGTGTGTGTGTGTGTGTGTGTGTGTGTGTGTGTGTGTGTGTGTGTGTGTGTGTGTGTGTGTGTGTGTGTGTAGTAGTTAACGTAA